CAACCCTTTAGAAAAATATCTGGATCAAAGCGTTTAGAAATTCTTCTTCATTCCACTAAGGTTTTTCTAAACACCTTTCGTTTGGCACACATCTCGTAATACTGCATTTAATTCAAAATATTTAGCCTTAAATTTTTAGATTGGTGAATACTCTAATGAAAAATGTTTTTAGGTAAAAGATTTCTTAAATAGCTTTCGTTTGACACCCATATTGTATTACTTCATTTATCTTACCAATTTCCTAGAAAAAAAATGAAAATATTTTCCAAACTCTTTCTTTTCTTATAAGACGAACCTCTGTTGTGGTTTTTTCTTATATTTTTAATTTTTATTTTTTTGTTGTCTTTTCTGTTGTTGTATGTGCTGGCCTTTTTTTTATATGGGCAAAAAGTAGTGTTCTCTATTTTGACCATAACTCTGGATCTATTTATGAATATCAAACAAACAAAACTTAAACATGTTCCACATATGTTTTAAGAAACTGTGAAAATTTCATCAAAAGAGGAAATCACTGGGTTTTTAAGTAAATGTGTTGCACCACATTTGCAAATTCACTTTATATATAAGAAAAAATAAGATTAAAATCTTCTTTAGAGTCCACGCTAATGAATTGTTGTATATTTAAATCTTTATTTGATTGGATAATCAAAATTTCTTAGCTAATCAAAATAAGGAATAAATTTGGCAACTTAATCAGTTTGTTTGTTACATAACCACTCTAATAAATTTTCTTATCGTTTATTTTAAATAAATAACGAAGTAAAATAAGCAACCGACAGATGACCTGAAAAACTTTATTTTTGACAACTTAAAGTCTATCTTTATCGAGGATTCTCTGGAATGCTAATTTTCTTGCACCAATTTGTCATAGATTTTAATTTCATTGAACTACTTAAAGGTATGTAATTATTCAAAGGGTAGAACTCTCAAATATCTAATTATTTTCTTTATACATGTAGATTCTTTTATGGAGAATGTACCACAAACACACTATTTGAAAATTGATGAAACAATAAAAAAAAATGTTTAATGGCGCTAAGAACAGAAAAACTAAACAATCAAAAAGAGCGAACACACAAAGTGAATGAATTTTTATATACTTAATATAATTATATATAATAATAATAGATTGGCGCTTACACATATGTTAGTGTTTGGCCGAGCTTCTCCTCCGATTTGTGGGGGTGCTTTGATGTTGTCACACAAAGAGGAGGGACCTACAGGTTTGCTATTGCCTGCCGAGGGGCGACCGCTGTTAAGAAAAAAAAAAATGTCTAAATTTTTTTGCGATGGTGCTTTGACCAGGGCTTGAACCCAGACCCTGCGGAGTGGAAGCGCACACTGCTTACCACTATACCACAGTGGCCGCGAAATATATAAATGCATATGATAATAAATAAAAATTTACCTCTATGAATTAATAAGAAAAATTAAATTTTATGCTGACAATACATCGACTGCTGAGTGGAAGATCGTCTTATCTCGGCAGCCAGTTGGAAAACGCCCTATCTCAAATACCTTTTTAAAAACGTCCTATTTCAGAGTTCCGTTGAAGAACGCCCTATTTCAGAATTCGTTACAAAAACGCCCTATATCAGCACATTTTGAATACATATTGAAGTGAGGTGGGACATTTTTGAATCGAATTCTGAAATAGGGCGTTCTTCAACCAAACTCTGAGATAGAGTGTTTTTCAATAAAATTCTGAAATAGGGCGTTCTTGAAACAAAGAAATCTATCCGAAGTCGTGTCAATCCGCTCGTACGTAATTCTTGCCAATTCCGTAATTCGGTTTTTCGATTTCGGTAAAAAATCGCAACAAATTGTTTGTTTTTATGAGAAATAGTATTGCCTATTTTCAAAGGTCATATAGAGGTCGCGACCTGTCGATTTAGGTGAGAAAATACGATTTTGTAGATTTATGAGTTTTGGAATGACTATTTTTGATTCGATTTCATAGATCGAGTATGATCTGAGAAGAGGATATATAGGCCTTTAAAATGGTATATAATAATCTATTGTTGGACTTGGCTTGTTGGGATTTTTTATCGAGTAAAATAAATAAAACCCATATTTCTTTTAATTTTTTAAATTGTGACCAACGATAATTTCCACAATTTAAAAATATGTAGTACTATCTAAAATTAATCTATTAATGAATAAACTGATAGCTCATTTATTGCAATCGCGTAAAAATTGTCGAAGTTAGGCAACTTCTCTTAAATACGGCCTTGAATTTATATATTTATGTACGGGACTTTCAGAGGTTTTGAGCAGTGTGGCTAAGGAATTCATAATTGATATATACAATCGCTCTTTAGCAAAGAAGTGGGTTTTCAGGAAATTTTAGAAAAATGGGGGTGGCACCTTAGCCACACTGCTCAAAAAATCTGAAAGTCCTGTACATAAACAAAATAAATTCAAGGCCGTATTTAAGAAAAGTCAACGCGAAATGAGCAATCAGTTTATTTATAAATATATTTAATTTTAGATAGTACTACATATTTTCAAATTGTGGAAATTATCGATGGTCAAAATTTAAAAAATTACGATAAATATGATCTTTTTTATCCCGATAAAATATCCCAACAAGCCAAGTCCGACAATAGATTATTATATACCATTTTAAAGGCCTATATATCCTCTTCTGAGATCATATTTGATCTTTGAAATGGATTAAAAAAAATTAATTCAAAAACTCATAAATCTACAAAATCGTATTTTCCGACCTAAATCGACAGGTCGCGACCTCTAAATGATTTTACAATATGTATAAAAATAGGCAATAATATTTCCCATACAATCGAATGAAATTAGGGGTAGGGTCTTGAAATTTAAAAAAAAAAAAAACATTTTTGATTGGCATCCGAATGTATATGTATATAATAGAGATGTTAATTTTTTAATTTTTTACGATCACGGGATTTTCGGGATGTCGTTATTACAATCCCGGGATTAGTCCCGGGGTTTAGATATTCATTAAATTTCAACAACTTAAATCGAAAAAATTGCTTCTATATTGTTTGAGAAGGTCTCCTACCATAAAATAAATAATAAATAAATGGGTTTGAAACCTACTTTTTTATTTAAAGCGGCATTTTTATTTTCTCTCTCTGACGTCAGGATTTATTTTAAAGGACTTAGTAATTTCAAAGATATTTGCATGTGTACATATGCACGTATACATGCTGACATTAGGGCGGATCACAAAATGGTAATATTTTGGCTGAAGACTTAAACAAATATCATGTATTCATGGCGTAGAAGTTGGCTCAATAACCCATATGTATTTGGTTACATATATGGTCAATACACCGTTATAAAGTTCCGAAACCCTATAACGGATGTTATAAAAAGTGCTAATTTTTCCTATTTCAAATCGAAAATTCTGTATGAATACAAACCAGATATACCCCAAACTGTGTGTAATCTATGCTGTGAACATTTGAGACAATGGGTCAGTGGTCAAAAAAGCTGTATGAGGTTCGGAGTGCATAATCAATGGAAAGAACAGAAAAATCACTTCGATGGCTGTTACTTCTGCTTGTTAATTTACGTGGCGTAAACGTAAGAAAAAATTACTTATCCAGATTTAGAATCAGCTGTAGTGGCTATTCGAACAGTTTGCTCCATCCATGAGCCATCATCCGAACACATCTTCAATGAAGTGAGCAGTGATAGTGATTCGGAAGGAATAACGTCTGCAATCCCAAAACTTTTCACCCGAGATGAATTAAATGATTTGATAACGGATCTAGTATTAACAAACGAATCTCCAGAAATATTGCTTTCTGGATTTAAAAAAAAAGCGTCTTAACAAATATGATTAAGCTCCCTTTGCGTGGGACGATGATGTTGGAAAAGCAGAATATCGTAAATACAGAGATACAATTATATTGCCACTTGCACATAAAGCTGGGCCTTATGAAACAATTGGATATAAAACGCTAGAAAAATATGGGCAATGCTTTTGTTATATAATGAGAAAATTTCCTGGTCTAATCACAGAAAAGATAAAAATGGGAATTTTCGATGGCTCACAAATAAGCATATTAATAAAGGATGCTGATTTCTTAAATTTAATGATCGATCTTTTGTTGAAGATACTTAATATTTTCTGGGAAATTATAAGTCAAGTAATTATCCGAAATCATAAATGGCATGCTGGAGACTTTTAAAACCTTAGGATGTAATATGCCCATCAAAGTCCACTTCCTCCCCAGTCATCTTCAGAAATTCCCAGATAATCTTGCATCATATAGCTAAGAATGGGAGTGGTTTCAGCAGTACCTTAAAACTATGAAAGAGTACCAAGGCCGATGGGATCGCCGTATGATGGCGGACTACAGAAGGGGGATGCAACGCAATTATTCCTGTATCCCCATTTACGAAAGTCGCCAAAAAGAAAGTTTTTATGAGCATAAGCACGTAATAAATGCAGTTTTTAAAAATGAGTAGTTCTATCCTAGTGCGAATAACTTTCAGTTTTTGTGTGGTGTTTTTTCTCGCTCATGTCTTATGGTTTTCGTAAATATGTTAGTTTTAAATGTGTTAGGTGTTAAAAAAATGTCGAACGTCGTTTTCTAGTATACTTTTCTACAAACAAAAAAAAAACATTTCTTTTATAAAAAATCGTTGTAGCGATTTTTCGAACCTTACACTTGTTACACAAATGGAGGGACCTACAGTTTTACGCCGTCTCCGAACTACAAATGGATATATGAGAAGCTTTTCATAGCAGAAAAACAATCGGAGGTTTGTCGCCTGGCGAGGGAAGACCGCCGTTAGAAAAACTATTTTCTAATTTCGATATAGCTCGAACCAGGCATTGAACCTAGGTCCTGTGGAGTGATAGAACGCACCTCTAACTACCCAATCACAGCGCTGGAAAAGGAGGGTATAAATATAAGTACCACTGCTCGTTCGAATTAGGCGTCCTATTAGGTGATCTATTCTACATACGTATACTAGTGTTTAGTTGGATCACGGCAGTATGGTACCTCTCACAACATCTGGTGGCGACTCGATAGGCTGGTTTTCTCTCACAATTAACTCTGGCTTACGCTGACTTTCTGGTTCGGTATCTTCCACGCATTTCGGACTGAACAGCAGCTTAAAATGTACCATGCAGTACAGGATACCCTCATGGCTTTGATAGTTGTCCACCCTATGTAAAGAATCATATAGTGCTCTTAAAACTGTAAAGGTATTTTCAAATTTAGATATTTTTATTTGAATAATATTACAGTCCACGTCATTACTTGCCGTCCAAATATGTATTATCCATACATATTTCAAGTATAAAACAGAAGAAATATTTTTAAACTTACTTCAATTGTTTGTTGCATTCATGGCAGCGGAAGCAGTTCTTGTGGTAAATACTCTTTTCAGCCTTAATCTCTTCCATTTTGTAGACCGGTTTGGAACACAGGCGACAGTTGATTTCCTTATCACCCTGTGGATTCTAAGATGGCAAATACACAGCATTATTTAACGTGTTAACAAATGTTATATAGTAATTGGTAGGCATATATAATATTTTGACAAGGACATCCAGGTGTGGTACTCAAGCAGACGAATTATTAGCCAGCACTTAAGTTTTGTACTGGTTGAGTAGTGTGCTTTACAGCTTATTAGCGCTTTCTGCCATGGTAATGTGGTTCCATGCCCAGCGACAAAGCAGCTTAGATTAATTTAGCTAAGTTGCCAATATCTACTAATTTATTTATTGTTAATTTGAAAGTTTTTGTTATTTTAGTTATTTTATGGCCTCTTAACAATTATATTCAACAATTTTTATTGAGCTTGAGGCCGTTTTTAATGAAAAACTTATAGTGGAAAAGCAACAATAATTTGAAAAAAAATGGTAGAAGTGATAGCTATTTCGGAAATCACCACATTTCCTCATCAGACTTCTTTCAGTAGGATACGAACCGACGATCCCACTGACTCAGCCAGTTGCCTACGCACTGTGTTTGAAAGTTAAATGAGTACACTTTACAGACAGTTGTGAATATCGTTGTGAGCGAGAGAGAGAGAGAGAAAGAGTCCAAAGCTTTTGTTCTCGACGTGCTGACGTCACATTCGAAACCAGTGTTGCCAACCTTTCAGTTTCAAAAAGCACCAAACCTTGGAAAAAAGAGCGTTTTACCGCACTAAAAGCACTAAATTTTTTTTTATCAAAGGATATTTTTTTTCATAACAGTTTGTGGTAAACAAAAGTAAAAAAATAAACAATATGTACATGTATAAATCAATACACATTCATGCTTCTGAAACTGGTACATCTGGAGAAGGAACAATCGAATCGCAACAAACGAAATTGAATTTTAAAGGGGAAGAGTAATACTTAATGATACCCTAAGTAGAAATGAGTTGTTTTATAATATAACCTCAAATATTGCGAAAAACCGTGTTTTTACACTTAGAGGCTAGGATATCTCAAAATTCTGACGTGGTAGAGAAATTCTGCAGCTAGATTTGGATTCAGCACCGAAAAATCTACACAAAACGGTTAAAAAAGTTAAAATTTTTCGAACTGTGTAATCAATAAATAATCAAGAAAATAAAAAAATAAATTCTTAACTTATCTGCGTGCTAGCATTTTCAACGCGAATACAATTTAACAAAAACGCAAGAACATGGGTTTGCAACTTCATCTTCTTATCAATCATGGTTTGCATTTTAGTGCATTTAAATTTGTAGATTCTTGTAAATTCAGACATTTTAGTTCAGAAAAAAGCACTAAAAGGGGCACTAGGCACTAAACCATTATTTTTGGCGTTTTAATTTTCAAAAAGCACTAAATCTAGTGCTTAAAGCACTAAGTTGGCAACTATGTTCGAAGCTATTTATTTCTTTATAACAAATTAGCTTACAAAATTAAATTTATAAGCTAATTGAGATGAAGCTATAGCAGGCAGGCCTTAAGCTTACTAAATATAATAAATATAAGTATAATATAAATAAGGCAAAGAACATAGTGACGCGATAAAGAGAGCGATAATAGCGAAGAAAGAGACAAGAAACGTCAAAACATATTGAAGCAACCGTCAGCTCAGAAAGCAACGAAAACAATTTTTTTCGTTTTCGTCTCAATGGTTCTCGTTGTTTATTAATAAAACTCAGGTCCATAGAGTCCACGCGTACTCTGTTGTCGATGTACTGTAAAGTGGGTTCTTCCACTTCGCTCAAAAACCGCGCGGCGAATCTGAATGTACGGGTAACCTCAAAACTAAAGATGGGGTGCTCCCTCGATGCCGCCGCTGATGCTGCGTATGCCCGCGGGTGCTCCGCTGCAGTCCCGTATGCACACGCCTTGGGGTGCTCCGCTGACACTTGTATAAACGTACAAGTGCGGAACCGTAAACTATAAAATGTGTATTTATAGCTAACGCGCTACTTGCGCTAGTGCGCCCGGTGGTTTTAATTAAAAAGCAATAGGTTGACTTGTCGGGTTGAAGTGCGCGCAATTAATGACGCCAATTTTATTTTTCACTTAAGAATTAAAGTTAGCTGTGATACAGTTCATTACATACAACAGGGTTGCATCTTCAATATCGTAAATTCTTAAAATTAGCTAAAGGCGAATTCATACAAGGTGAATTGTAGTAATTTGTAAGGTTGCAATAATGTATGCTTTGATCGCATTACAGTACTTTGTCGTTGATATAATTGCAGGCCCAATTGATTGCCCGCACCTCCTCATGAAAATTCGTTTTAATGTTCCCTCGCGATTCTTCGTTGTAATTAATTTTTTTTTTGTGGGTGTTGCTAAAACAGTTTATGGGATGAATGCTCCCTTAAGAAGGACTCTATCCCAATTTTATGCTTATTCTTCAACTTTAGACTTCGATTTTTCTTATTCTCTTTTTTTAATAATTTATTCATAAGGCACTTGTCATAAGGGCTTCCCTTATTCTGTATATGTGTATATGTATATTTATCGTATAGTCTATAACAGAGCTGTAAAATGATTGAATCAACATAGTCTGCATTCACTCGGCATTCCTTTCAAAATGTTGATTGTTAGTTTGTATAAATAAAAACTTCATTCCTGAGTGGCTTAAAATATTTGAAAACAAACAAATTGTGTTTTGTTATTGAATGCTAGATTGCCATTCAGTATAGAATGTGAATGTTCAGCAGCATTCGCACTCACACATGATTGTATATTTAGAATGAATGCACACTTTTTTTTACCATTCAGTACCAATAATTTGTTCCCAGGGTTGATATATTTTATACTTTAAAGTTTGAACATATCTGGAATTGAAACAAAAACAAATATTTTATTTCAAAGTATATGTACTTATGTATTGAAGTTTTCTGCCACTAACCCAAAGCCAATGACTCGTGCAATATTATTTATTCCAAAGCAACTTATCGCAACCGTAGAGCAAAACAGACACATCTTGATATGTATACATATACATCATCGATTGTAGACATTTTTTCGCAGAAGAATATACAAAATTGATTTATCACAATTATTTTTGTACTAAATATTTTTTTCACAGTATACAGTGATCCAGGTAGCCAAAACAAAAAATGTAAACATGCTTATTTGACATTTTGTTTGAATGTATTGGTTGATATTTTTTCACAGTTGTCGTTTTCGTTAACCCAAATGAAATCCAATTTAAATATTTTCTTATAGTGAAAAATATTTTCAAGTCACATAAAATAAAATAACGAGAAACACGAAATTCCAAGCAAATGAAGCGTGAAGCGTTAGCAATTATGACCGGATGCAGTTCCTACATAAGTCAAACCGTGTTCTGAACACAACTTTGAGTGAATAATGGTGGGCTGACTTTGTAAAATGGTCCCATCGATTAGGCGGTAAAAGAAGTATTACTTAGCTTATGGTACAACTCTCCAATTTTCAAATGCACGTAATTTGTGTGTATTTGTTCAGCCGATTATTCACATTTGAAAGAGGATAATGCATGAATTAATGCAAGTAAAGACGGTTTATGCAGATAAGCGAGCGCGTTTGTTAACCGTATAAAATGTATGTACGTATATACACATATATTCAGAATGACGAGATGAACTAGTTCAGCCCTCTCTGTTTGTAAACACGCTAACTCGAACAAAATTTAGTTATTTTAACGAAAGTCGGTGTCGAAGTTGCCTTTGGTATAATTTAGGTTAGTGTTAAATTTTGTCGAAATCTGCCAATAACCACGCCCACCTCCCACGTAGTAATTAACAATATTTTTGTTTTATTATAATTTGTTTTACGAATTTTGCTGTTCAAATTTACATTTCAAATATATCAACAAACATTTGTAGGTACTTTTGCACCAGTTGTTGCCTATGGGTTAATGACAAAAAAATCCTATATATTCACAACATTTCATGTATTAGTTTTCAAATAAGCATATTGTCAATGGCTGGTTTGCTGTATACTGTGATTTTTTTCAGTTTTCAAATATGAAAACTTTCAAAACAAAATTTCAGAAGGGTTCCTGTTTTTTTTTAAAGGGGTTGAGGAGTTCCATTACTTTGAGCAACTTTTTTAATTAACTATTAATTTAAATGTTTCCTAAACATATTTACAACGCAGTTCTGCAAGAGGGTACCATAACTTTTTTTCAAATAACGTATATTTGGAACAACCAAAATTAATCGATATGGATACATACATTTATGTTCGTATGTACTACTTATGTATGTATATATACATAAAAATGCTCAGAATAAAAAGGGAAGATGATTAGTCCATGCCCGTTTATTTGCGTACACGATAACTCTAGCAAAAGTTGAGATATCTCAACCAAATTCTGTACGAGGGTTTTTTTATCTAGGGCAGCAGGGTATTGAAAATACAAAAGTCGAACAATAACCTGGTCCCTCTCATAAAATGGTAATTTCGAAAAATGCCAAAACTACAATATTTCCTTAATTACAGGAACCAAATTGCTAAAAAACTGCCATGTTTATTATTATAGTTTTGGAAAATGGACATGGGATATATTGCTAGCTTTAAACATCAATTTGCTCAAAACATACGTTTAGAACAGTGTGCAAGCTTCTACCACATGTGTGGTAGATCAACCACGTATTTTTTTTTAAATTTGGGTGTCTACCACATCTACCACACAAGGCTTAAATTCTACCACATTTTTAGACAGAACATTTGTTTACCATTTTCACATAACTCTAGAATTTCAACTCAATTGTAATTCGAAATATAAAAATTAATAAATAGATTTTTAAAAATGTACATCATAAATTTTGCTTTAAATATATCTGTGCCTTAACTTTTAAATATTTCAAAAATACGCCTATTTATATTTGCTAAAGTATTATGCAATGGGAAAATAATTTGGTCGATTTTTTTGCATACAAATAAAATATTCTTTTCTTCATGATTATATTCTCTAACTAGAAAACTAATGTTATACTTGTTTTTGCACCAATTGCGTGGAATCTGTACGATCCACTAGCAATTAT